TTTATTTCAACAAGAACAAAATAAATTCATTAAGAGTTCTGTGAAATGTTTCTTAAAATCTTCATGGAATATCAAAAATATATACTAATAATAAGCATTTACATTGTTTTCTTTTTTAAAAAGCCATATTTGCTGGGGAGAAAAGCATAAGAAATTTGTCGAAGAATTGACACAATGTTTAATTATTTTCCATTGAAGAAACTTATTTTGTGATAATGCATAGATAATCATATCAAGATGTTTTAAATCATTTCATTATATAGTATGAAATAAAACATGACAGCTTTTCTTGATTAAAATTCAACTGATCAGTAAAACTGATCAACAAATGAACCACAAATTTATTAAAGACAGTTTATATGATCCAAGTAGATAATGTTCAAGAGCAAAATATGTACTTAAGAATGAATATGTTTCCTCTCTGCTGTCAGTCTGATGCGAGCATATGTTGCCAGCGTATGGAGAGTCGACAGGCTAAACTTTCGTCTTTGTTGAAGCAGTTGAGAGAAACTGTGCAGCCAAATACAGCCGTCCCAGGTTCAACAGTATTTGTAAGTGCTTTACAATTTACAGCCTTTTCTCCTTAGTGTTCATGTTTATCATTTGAAATGAATTAAAACAACACAAACCTTGTATATTTTAGATAAGAAACAGCGTTAAGCACACCACCTTCCATCTCTGTTGTGCTTCAGAAATAAAAATTCTTAGTTACCTTGCCTCCTCAAAAACTCACTAAGGACCAACATCTGCTGCAGCAGTAAAAGCATCTTATAAAGGTTCAATACAGAACTCATATAAACCATCCACCTATATGGACAAAGAGATCATAAAGGGAGGGCTCCTCCTAAGATTTGCGATGTCCTTGAACATATTTGAGAGCAAAACCCAGATTCTTAAATTCTGCATCAACTGCATAGATAATCCCAGATATATTGAGGCAGTGCAGGCTTGCAGAATAAATTTAACGCAATGTTTGATACTGACAAAAAGATTGCAATTCAATGTTTTCTCCCATTTTCCTGAAAACAACATGACAATGTTTTGTTGTGACCCCAAATCCTCCATATTTAAAGATAGCCATGAATGTCCAAAGATCATTTTTGACATCTGACCTTTGTTTTTCTGTTAGAAATGTTGCTCCATTGACTCATAATAGTCTTTTTTTAATTCTGTCTCAGGCTCACATTTGTTTCTGTCGAATATTATATGTTTATCATAACAATTATGTTTACATTACAAACATTATGATGCAGTTCTGAAACTAGAATAAAAACTGTTTACATTTTTCAAGATTATTGGACCTTAACCAAACTGAAGTATCACTGTATTTTCAGAATGTTGTATATGTATTTCAAAGCACCACCCAGCAACAGTGGGTAGTTGTTTCTAATCGATTGAAACCCAACAGCCCACCACCATGGACAGGCAGATGGGGATTTCACTTTCCTAAAATAATGGCTTAAGTCTTTGTTTGAAATTTTTTGTCTACATTAACTTTTGGCGAAAAGGTGGTGGATTTTTTTTCAAATCAAAATCACCTATGGCAAAAAAAAAAAAAAAAAAAAAAAGTACAAAATGACATAAAAGACCAAAAATGACCATTAGGTGAAAAATTATATCAGCTAAAGCTGTGTCAAGATAGGGACTTAGTTTGCTGCGGATCTGTCCATCCATCCAACCAAAGTTTAGTGTCATCATGTCAACACTGATCAAAATCAGTGCTACTGCATCAATTCAAAATCAGTGCATAGTACTGGACACATAACGAGCCTTGAAAAAGTATTCACTTTCTAACAAAAACGAAAATAAGGTCAGAAAAACACTAAAACAGATTGTGCCAAGGAATACAAATCCTTTTTACAGAGAGCTTTAAAGGTCTGAGATTGTTCTATAATTTAGTAGCGGCAACACTAACTCTGTCTCCTCTGAGCTTCATCTTACTGTGCATTGTGTCTTGTATATCTTTGATATTGTTGAGACAACTGCTACTGATCAGCTACTTATTGAACCTTGTATTTTCAGCCATTGTTCAAAGCTGTGACAAAGTTGTGGTTTGAGCTCCAGGATGAGGCAGAACTGCTGCACATTCTCAGTAACATCACAGTTGGTCTCAAACCCTTCCTCGTCTCCCAGGCTAAGAGGTTTTCAGAGGCGTATCTGGACAGCCTGCTGGTGGCAACAGAAGTAAAGACCGACGCCAACAGACTGGCAGCATCCTCAGGTATGGCAATGTCACTCACATAGTCAATCCTGAATGTACAAATGAAACATATTGATCAAGTTTAGTTAAAGGTTAGAAAAGCAGACATTACTGAGTGACAGTGGATTTGAGAGTTGAGGCTTCTGATTCCTCCTCCAGATGAGCAGATTGACCCGACTTTGCTAAACACTCAAGCCTGGCTTCTGCCTCATGGAAGTGACAGACTGAAGGAGCTGCCATTGGAGTATAACGGTTTCTGTGGTTACATGTTCGTGAACAGAGACGGTCTTCTACTTCCCGGTAGTGCTCACCTGAAACACCAAGAAAATGACAAAAAACAAACATTCATCTTCTCAAAATACAATAGCAGTTTTATTGTCTTTGTAACAGTAAAAAATCTGGTTGCAATTCTCCAGATAAAAACCATGTCTCACTTAAAAAACCAACAATAAATAATTACTTATCCTTTGATAATGAACTTAAAACTGAACTAAATTATAGACATAAAACTGAGCAGGTCAAATTGATCACAGCAGCATTCAGCATAGCGATGGCTAATGGCTGAAACTGTTTCTCAATGTGCTGGACTGTATTGTTCATGTGTAGGTGAGATATTTCATTTGGCCTCACTGACCAGGCTGTCAAACACTTTGATCAGTAAATCACAGAATTAGAGAACCGTATCTCCATTTATTCACATAAGCTTGATTGCTGTACAGTCAATAAGCTTTTCCATTTAAGATTCCATTTTAAATACAAAACCATTTGATTTTACTGTTAGAAACACGTGGGGACTGGTGGGGGGAGGGGGTAGTAATTTGGGACTTAAAATAAAGTAAATGTCTATTTTTGCAGGAAATCCTTCTATTGGAGTTCTAGAACACAAGGAGAGGTTCTATGCTTTCAGCTCCCGGGAGGCAGCGTTGGCATTTGCCTCCTCTCCAGACAACTTTGTTGCTCAGGTGGCAGAAAAATCCAAATTTTTTCCAGAACTTTTTCAGCTTCTCAAACTCCATCAGCAGCTTCCCAGTACGCGCTCATCATACTCTGAGGTTGGTGTCTTTAAGTTTAGAACATTTCACCAATACAGTAGTTTCATTTTGAAAACGAGACTCCACAGTAAAATGTAGTTCCCTTTTTGTGTAACACCAACTGAACTCTTCAGTTCCACAGTAAACTGAATACATCTTGAGTTCAGATGATCTGTTCCCTTGTTAGCTTTAGGAACCTTGTTGCATTTCTGATCTCAGCCGCTGTCTCTGCTTTGCTTTAGCAGAGAGAAGCAGGGCAGAGTTTATGGCCTATGCACATCAACAAGCGGGAAATTGGAATACAAACTGTCACCCACCCAGTGGAAACACACATTGACAAGTCATATGAGTGGAATGAGTGGGAGCTAAGACGAAAAGCCATTAAACTGGTGAGCCAGACCCAAACATGTTTAACCGTGTCCCACAGGCACAAAACCAAAATGTAGCGCATTTGGATATATCTTTCATTAAGCACTATATTCCCATGTATGACATTGAATATTTACATTTTCCAAAGCATGATAAAAGTTAAGAGTTGTAGGTGTTTAAGACCAAACTGATTTCTGCTTTATATTAATGTATCTCTAGTAGCTTAAATGTCTTCTGCTGCTCCAGTACAGACTGATATTCTTTTATTTTCAGTCTAATGAACCTCTTTTGTGCTCCATAATCTAAGGCTAATATTCGGACAACAGTGACTCACTCAATGCAGACCAACCTGAGCCACATGAGACGGGACAACGTTAGCCAAACATGGCTGCCGAAGGAAGCTACCTCTCAAACAATGAGCGAGAGCGGGAGCAACGTCCCCAAACCTCAGACATACCTGCACGGTCTGAGGGGACAGAGACATGCTGAGGTGCTGAAAGTAGACCTCACCAGACCTGTTGAAGAAAACCCTTGATGACAAACCTTTGATGAAATTAAAGGTACTGTGAGCAAATGAGTTCATCATTTCATCATTGTCTATATAAGTATATTTGTGGTTTGTATTGTGCCTGTGTCTCTTCTAACCAGTTAATGGAGTTGGAACTCAGAGAGGTTGGACTTAAATGTTCGTGTCGTCTGACCATTTCCTTGTAATGTTGTACAGAACATATTTCCTCAGCAAATGCAATTTCAAAGTTTATAGAGTTGGTACGTTAGACTGTGTTTCCAAGCACAACGACACAGCATCTGGAGACTTGATATAGTTTCTACTTGTGTCTATAATCAGCAGTCTTCCAGTCTGACAGTTATGAGACATTTAAACCCAAACACAGCTCAGCTCAGTTCTGCAGGCGACCAGTGAAACTTCACACACTGAGGACTCTTTGGACCTGGTTCTTCTGTGGATCATCAGATCCTGTTCTGACACTTATAATATGGTGTATAGTCAAAGCTTCTCAGTGCTGAGAGGGGAATTCTCCTTCCAGCTTTCCTCTCCTCTTCTGTCCACTGAGGTTCCATCTTATGTTCAAAACTAAACTTTGCTTTTCCTCATGACTAGGCCTGAAAACTCGAGCCCTTTTCAGAGGTTTATGCCAGGTTAGATCCTGGATGTCCAGTAATTAAAATTAATCTTAATGCCAGTAAGACTTTGCATCACTTTGCTTGGACATTAGCACACTGATCATGTCTTTGGTTCCAATTTTCTCCTTTTTTCTGCTCCTCTGTCAAAGACCTTCCTTTTACCTTTGATGCAGTTGTCATTCCTACTGCTGGGAATAAGAGCAAGACCATCTTCAAACAACCAGCATTTAAAAATATTTCTATTCACCCTTGACAAGTAGAAACTGCAATTGCTTTTAATATGGTCCAACTCAGGTCATTTTTCAATAAATCCAGCAAAATCAGACAAACATACAGTCCAGTTCAGTCCATCTAACTGTTTGTCCTCCATTTTGATAATACAGCTTAAAATGTGAAAGTAAAAATGACATCTTCAATGAAAATCTTCCAGCAAAAGTGAAGCTAGACGATTAGCTTCATATAATACAATCAATGGATATTTTTCAATTTCCCATAACAGCTGTCATGGTTTTAGCACATTTCGAGTACAGCCCTTCAGCATCCTTGACCTGACTCCATTATGAAGGTGAAATGTAACGATAGTCACACAAACATATCTCTTTACACTAGATTCAGCTTTACTTCAAAGTATTTTTGTTTCAGTCCATCTTTCTGTTCATCTTAAGGTGTAAAACGTATATTTGCAAAACTTTTATATGAACAAATGAAAATGTTTCACTTCAGGTGCACCTGTTAAGTCGGCAGGTCTTTCACTCATCAGTTGAAAGCTTTTACTTTTTAAGAGTAGATAGACCAGTAGATGATGTTGAAGAGGATATAAGATCCAGGGAAGATGACCCTGGAGTATTTGTCTATGGCGTGTGTGTCAATCCAGATGCTGCTGTAAGCCCTGGAGCCAACATGGCCCGTCATCTGGTCAGTCTCCATGGCCAGTTCAACCAGCATCCTTTCCCTTCTCATGCCATTCTCCTCTGGCAGGCCGTAATTTCCTGTGGTGTTGACGTCCACTTCACTGTAGCAGTCCGACATCATGCCAGGATGAGCTAAGCCGCAAGTACACGGCAACTGCAATAAAAGTTAGAAACATATAAGCAATATAAAGTTAGAACATAACTTTCAATAGCTGCAAACCATAGTAAGGGATAACAGACCTGATCATGAGAAGCTCATGTCACCAGATTTGTCTAGTTGAGATAGAAATATTTTTTACAATAGAGACCTGCAATCCTGCAGTCTCTCTAAATCTCACTACCCACTGAATGTAAGCCATCAGAAGTCTGTAGTTTTGATGTACATACGTTAAATATCTGTATGCAATGATTTTGTGCGTACAAAACAATTCAATAAAACTGATTCTAGTTCTGAATCTGTTAGGAGCTGAATCAGTCACAGTTATTATAAAGTTCACCGTTCTTTAAGCACAAAGGAAAAGAAAAGATATTTACTTAAAAAAACTACAGAAAGAACATTAAGAGGCCAATAATAGACTAACATTCACCATTCTGCTTAAATACTTTAAAAAGAAAAGATCTGGTTAAACAATAAAGTTACAACGTCAAACCAATTTGTATTCCAGATGATTAAAAATGTGACTTAATTCAAGAGTAATTACCTTATTCTCTCTTCTTAGCTAATAATCTTTCTTTCAAAATGCCATTTCTTGGAAACTGTCAGTGATAGCACATGGTACCAACCTTCTCCCGCAGTTTTCTTTCCTTGCGTTCCTGGAGGGTGGACAGGTAGTTGACAGCGGCATATTCTATGACCGAAAGGAAGACAAAGACGAAGCTGATCCACAGGTAAACATCCACAGCTTTAATATAAGACACCCTCGGCATGGAGGCGTTGACTCCAGTGATGATGGTTGACATGGTTAGCACAGTAGTTATACCTAAAACAGAAAACAAAATACAGTTAGAGCAAATGAAGTTTCTAACTTTGACTATAACACACGGCCACAGTCAAAGCTATACAAAGAGGACACACAGGAAGTCGCTGTGGTGACCTTTCTCCACCAACATCCCATTATAATCTTCAAAACCCTTCATATAGACAGTACATAAAAATTTGCATTGATTATGAGTCACGATCTAAACAAAAGCAAAAAAAAAAAAAAACAAGTCCAGCTTTTATTTGAACTGTAAACAGTGCTTGATATATTCCCTCTGATGACCACAAGTCATTTATGTGCAACAAAGACTGTTGTCTAACCAAGTGGCACTCTGGCAGGAACAGCCCTGCGGTCGATCCAGAAGGACACCCAGGACAGCATGACCATCAGCGTGGCAGGAAAGTACGTCTGCAGCAGGAAGAAGAAGATGTGCCGCCGGAGGGTGAAGTTGATGTACAGCCGATTGTACCAGCCTGCAGACCAGAGTAAAAAAACTGAATTAGGCTTCACAAATTCTATATGAATTGAGACACAGCTCCCCATTTCCATGCAGCACCTGTACTGCTGTAAAATGCCAGCTTTGTGGTCGTATGGAACTCCTGAATGAGGAACTGAGACAGAGAAATTCTTTCATCCGTGTTTAAAGATCTGTTGCCTTCCTTCCAGTACAGCATCAGGTCATCATCCGTATAGGCATCTGAACAAAAGAAAAAGTATAGGCCATACTCATGTCTGATTAAATTAAATAAACATTTGACACAAGCATGGCAAAAGTGATTATTCTTAAAATTACAAACTCAATAAGTACTAAAATAAACCTTCATACTATCTGAAGTTCATCAAAAGTCTTAGTAACTTACAGCTTTCGATTTCCAACGAGCACGTTTGTGTGTCCAGAGGGAAACGACTCAGGTCCATGCTGCACATGGCTGTGACTGTGACTCTGAAATCACAAAGCAAACGTCTGAATGTTTACTGGAAACAATGGATTGTGGAATGCCGAGAAATTTGTGGAGACTTATAAACATTTGTGCAGATGGGCAGGACAGAGCGACAGAATCAAGATAAAAACAAAGAAAAGGTTCAATAAAAATCTGTAGCATAAATAACCCTTGGTGTGTAACTTCAATAAAAACAACAGTTTCTGATTAACAAATGATCAGTCAGAAGCAGGAGCTTTCCAACTTTCTATAGTTAGTTGAGCTGCATGTAATGTAGATCTAACCCTCAGCGGAACATCAGCCAATCCTTATTAATGGGACAAGATCTCAGCAGGAAGCAGGTTTCCAACAGAAGTGTGTTAAGCCAACTGACTGTACAGGAGAGGGTGGAGTGGTTTGCAAACTGTCATCATATTCCAATCTGTTTTAGTCTGGAAAATATCCACCCAGCACTAACCCTGACCCAATGCAGATTAACCCTGGCCATGTGATGCATATGTAAGTCTTTCATAATGCAGTATATGATCATCCCATAGCAAAGTAACAGAATTTCTGGCTGTAGAAAAATGCTTTCTCTGTTATGATGGCTCATTGTTTCATCATCACAGTTAAAAGGTGTAAAACATTTAAATATGTCAAGTCAAACACCAGATTTTGTGGAATAATAACCCAGGCCTGAATTATCACCATTTCAGTTTTACTTGCATCTCCTTGTCAGAAAGACTTTACAGGACAGGAATCTGTCATTTTTGTAATTTGATCTCTATTATGTTACTGAATCCAATTCTGGTTCAGTGTTATCTGATACAATTTGTAGCTTATCGTTACATTTGGTTTCATAAAGTTATAGAGGTTCGAACAGGAGGAAACTGGACTTTTAGCTTTGAAGATGCTTCTTGTTTAGAAGTGACTTTGGACTTTCACTGGATCAATATGACATTTCTTTTTTTAATTTTAGATATGTACAACTCAGGGTGGCAGAATGGTAGAGTATTTCTGTTACATTGATTTTTTGTTTTTAAACTTTAATTTCTGCCTTTGTAGTCAAAAGTCTGTCTTTTGGACAACCGTTCCTTCTTGTTTTGGATTCTGTGTGTGGGGGAATTTTCAAGAACACACATTTTCAGTTTGAAAGCAGGTCTTCATGTCTTTTTTCTCAAAACTTGTAATGCTTGTAGTCAAAACTTCTGCTCTTTCAAACATTCACTCTGCTCTCTCAAACCTTTCTCCTTGCACTTAAAACTCGTCTCTGCTCGGATCGAATCTGTGCTTGCAAACCTCTCTTGATACCAAGGAAACGGTACTTTGTCTTGGAACAAAAAAGTACTATCGCCTGGCAACCTCTCAGCCAATAGAATGAAAGTGTTATACTGGGGGTGTTTGTTTCCTTCTAGTGGGTGTAAAGGCCTTTACTTGAAAAGGAACATAAACTGTAGCTGTTAACTTCTTACTTTTCTCTAACAGAACAACTCCTGGATCGGTGCTCTGTCTTCTCAAAGCCCCAACTGTTCATGACGGATCGCAGCTCACACTGACCTAGCTTCTGGTTCTGCTCTGGCTTTTTCATGTCAAGGGGGAGTTTTTCCTCTCCATTGTCTCTACATGCATGCTGTGTGAGGGAGTGCTGCAAAATCAAAATCAAAAAAATACTGTTGTGATTGTCCTCACATGTTTCAGCCTGAAACACCCAATTCATGATCACAACCGAGAAAAAGCATTTGGGTGAAGAGATGAGTAACAAGAGAAGAAAGCATGTGGCATTGTACATAAATACTTATGTTGTGAAGCAGCAAATATTTTGCACTCTAATTTCCATTAAAGAAGTAAATGCATTTTGTTCCCAATTCTGTAACATGGTAATGCAACTAGATCCCATAGGTCTGCCAGAGTGCTTTACTTCACAGACTTGCTTTGTTTGGACTCATAAAGACTTCCACTTATGTCTCAGTAAAAGATGTATTCTTTTTAGGTTTGAAAATCTATTATTTCTGAAATTCAGGAGTTTGTAATTCAAAGAAAAAAAACCTTTTTGTCTGTCGGTGGTCAGTTCGCCGTGTGCAGCTCTGAGGACAGTCCTAGAGTTAACATTTTTATTCTCCGTCAGTTCAGAAAACAAGACTGTCTTTAATGCTTCAGCTGTCCTCTAAAGAAGGGAGTGGTGGAGGATTCATTAAAAAGACACACACATTTGCTGTATTTTTTTTTTTACAAAAGAGGGAAAAATTTTGATGAATCTGTCAATATCTAGCTTTGATATTAGGATATTAGGATACTGAAAAACAGCCAGTTCCATCAACTGACATTATTAAACTAAACTGTCCCACTGATAAAATAGGGTTAAAAATACAACAATGGATTACCTGAGGCTGTAAAGGACTTTGCCATCGGGGTACACTCGCAGCATGACGTTGTCTGTGGTCGTGTCATGTGTGAACGACTTCTTAGAATGGACAAAAAACATGTCAGGTACCCATATCTTCTTCACCAGGCGACCATCGAAGGTCATACTCTGGTTGGTGTTGCTTTTAAATGACAAACGATCATCTTTCCAATAGTGCCTCAGATACAAGGTCATAGTGAAATCCTTAAGAAAAGAAATGAAAAATTGATTTTCATTGTTGCTTCAAGTAGGAACAAGTGCATAGAGCTGTTTCACAATCACATACCATGTCAACCTCTGAAATCGCATCCAGGCTTTCAACCTGAACATCCACTCCAACTGGGACAGCAGGTCCTAGAAAAACAGGATACAACTGTTTATTTATGAAGATCCACTGACCTCTCATTTACATCAGTGTTATGAAAAGGGTGCAGATGTAACCCAAGAGCCTCATTTGGAGCAGCTTGGATTATCTATCTTTGTTTTATTCCAACTGTTCTGATTTAGACAATGACTTCTGCTTTCTATTGCCAAATCCCCTTAAAAGCTGCTGTGTGCAGATCCCTGAATCCTAAGCACCGAACCGGAGGAATGAGTGCTGTAATCCCAACAGACATGAAACCAACTGCTTCATATATGTATCTCTCTCTATCTCTCTCTCTCTATCTCTCGCACATATATATCTATATCGATATATATATATATATCGATATAGATATCTATAGATATAGATACATCTATATCTATATCTATATATCTATGTATGACATGGTAATACAACTAGATCCCATAGGTCTGCCAGAGTGCTTTACTTCACAGACTTGCTTTGTTTGGACTCATAAAGACTTCCACTTATGTCTCAGTAAAAGATGTATTCTTTTTAGGTTTGAAAAAAAAAAAAAAAATATATATATATATATATATATATATATATATATATATATATATATATATATATATATATATATATATATATATATAATACATGTGTAAATTACTCTACACTCTGAGCTTCTCCAGACTACAGGGATCCCTGTTTGATACTCATTCTGACTGTTCTTGATTCAGTCCTTGATGATGCTGTTGGAGTCAATACTTGTTCTCAGCAGAATGGCAGATGGAACTGCTACTAACAGGTACAGCTTTTGCATTTCTTTCTCAAAATGATCTTTGAGGAGGGAAGAGAGATCAGATGGCTCATTAAAGCCTTTTAACCCATATCAGTTTGCCCACTGACAGTGGATTTGTCCCTTCAATATTCATTAGCTTCAAATGCAGGGATCCAAATAGTTTGTGGTCTTGCATTAACATGGTCAATGGCCATTTAATGAATTTCTTTATTCATTCCAGGTAGGAATGCTGTAAAGTCAATGTCACAACACAAGTGATCATCTACTACTCATCCAGAGGCAGTGGGTGCTGTAAGTCAGATTGATGAAATCTGCTGCGTTTCCTTAGTCCAGGGGTGTCAAACTAATTTGTCAGACTACTTTTCATTTTTATTTTGATACATATCTAGATTATGAATGTCCTCAAAAGCCCATTTGTGCCAAAATGTATTAATAAAACCCATAAACAAGCTGTTAAAATATTAATAAATAGTTGCCTCCCCATTTGATGAGTATTTCTTCAAATGAAATCATATTCAACATCTTTCACACTGAAATTTGACAGCACACAAATAATAGATTTGATTTGATTAATGGAATAAAGTTTAAGTACATAACTATTATTTTGAAGATTCAATTTATGCATTCTTGTACATGAAAAGATTTGGGAGTCAGATTTGTCCCCAGGGCCTTTAGTCTGGCACATACTGTGTGTCTTGGACAAAAACTTTTATAATTTAAATAACTAACTGAGCTCACTCTTCTGATATATCACAAACATCAGTTGGGATGTATGCATGTGAATTGAAATCACTTTTTAGAAAGTGCTTTGAGGCAATATTTGCTGTGAAGTAGAGCTACATACATAAATTGAACTGAATTAAATATTACACCAAATGTTTGGCCACAGCGATTTCTAAGACAGGGATGTGATGGCAGCTAATGAGTTAGAGAGAAAAACACTAAAGATGTCCATTAAACATTTGACCTGGTATATCATCCTGTCCTGTGTAGACTGACTTAAATTCATATTCACCAAACGTGTGGCAGATGTTAGAGGACAGTTGTGGCTCTTATGTCCTCAGCTACATGGTTTATTTCCTTGGAAAACAGAATGCACTCCTGATTTTTTCTATCTGATTTAGCTCTAGTTTCTTGGTAGCTGAGAAGAGGGACATCAAGAAAAATACAGTTTTCTCGATGACTTAAATGCAGGCGGACTTTCATTTTCAAATTGAACCACCTTCAAATGTTTTAAAGTGTAGGGTTTATTCCTATCTCTATCTTCTAGATGCTTCATGTCATCTTTGGTTTCTGGTTGGTTCAAGTGGCCAATAACAACCCATATGACATGGTCAGATATATGGGTTGCCTCCTTATGGATTTTGATATCCATAAGGAGGCTGCTGCTCACAGCAGCTTCCCCACACATCCTGCAGTGCTTCAGGAACATCCAGCTCTGAAGTTGTGCAGTTCATTCCCAAAGCAAAGCTTGTCCTCTGGTTTCTACTGACTGCCTCAGTCTGACTGCTGGGAAAAGTATGGACAATGTCCCACGAGGGTCTCTGAGGCCAAGATCAACTGACTGCTTCAAATATGGAGTCTTTTTATAAAATATATATTCAGTCTCATTAGCTGGTAGTTTTAGTATCTGTGGAGCCATTTAGGCTCTGGTCTCTAACTGAATGAAATGTTCCGTCTGAGATTATGAATCTTAGTGGAATCCAAGTGAGAGCTTCAATTCACAATGACTCCAGCTTTGAGTCATTGAGCAGATTAAGAATGCAGCTATTGAAATCGAAAGCTACAGACAGGCTGCTCAGTAATTAATCACTGGCTTGCAACAGCATGGTTCTACCATAATCCCACACTGTTATGTCATCTTTGCCAGCCAGGACTGGGCGCTCTCACTACTATGTTAATAAAAGAACCGAGCCTGGAGAGCGTAGATTGGTGTTTACCTGGAAAATCGGCTGGATATTTAGAAGCAACACATCTGAAAACACATCATAACCCACGAGTTTTTGCACAGAAGGTTCCAAAAGATGAAGCGCCTTACCTCCAAACCCTGGTCGCATTGTGAAGTCATGGTCATCTATCCTCAGCAGCTGCTCTGACTTCGTAGCTCTGGCTTTAGTTATATCTGGACTTCTCTTGAATATCGGACTGAGAGAAAATGAGGAAAACTTTAATCATTAAAGAAAGAGTGAGAATGAATGTCTTTGGGACCTTTGTTTTATCAACACACTTCCTCTGTTGGGCCCTTTCAGAATCTGCAGTCATTTTAATCCAAACATTTTTGAAAAGGGGTTGTGAGTTGATGTTGTCAGGGAGGGTGGGTCAAATAAAACTTTAAATCTTCTGACTTCAAGAAAAGCCCTCAACCACTGAAGTTCCTGTTTCTAATTCAGCTTATCCAATATAATTAGACTGTTATTAAAGTAGTGATTAAAAACCCACAGCAATTTCTAAATATTTGTCAAACCGGGCTACAGAATCTCAGAGGAACCAAAAACTAATTATGTTCTTTGGTGAGCAAACCTAATGACAGTTCAACTCAGTCTTGGATGTTTAACATTTTTGATACTTTTATTAACTTCTTAATAAAAGTATCATATTAAAAATAATGTTTTAATAGAAAACATTATTCTTTTTAAATGGCTGCTTCTTCAAAAATGAATTTAAGGTGAGTGTTTTCTAGTTCTTTACACATGATGTTGTTCCACTAGTTTATTGAATTTACAATTAATAGCTTTCCATATTGAGGTTGTTCTTCACAGGCAAATAATCTGATGAATTTTCTAATTCTAAAGTCTGAGGAAAGGTTATATAGGGTTTAGTGAGAAACATGAAACTGGACCATCTGTCTGTAGATACCAAAAACAATGGTGTGATTAAATTGTTGACCTTATGCCTCAAAGTTCACCATGCTTCTTTAATCTCCACTTTCAACTAGCCTCAGTTATACTCCTAATTGAACAAAAAATATACAAAAACATAAAAATACCTGCCAGTCTTGTGACTGAGTCCCAGTGGAGACATCTCTTGTGTCAATCTGAAACAAAAAGAAAGATGATATATTATTATGCACTATTAAATAACCGTACAGCAATAAGGGAACTAGAAAAGTAAGGTTCTAACAGTCATGCATTTCTGAGAAACTCAACAGAATTTAATTCATTTAAATCTCTAACAGTCGCATGAGCCACCCTTTAAATGTTTTAATAGAAAACATTTGATCTGCTCTTTAGAAGCAGCATTAGGGGTCAAACACAGATGTTTGACATCTGATTCTCCACTTTGTGATGCTCTGAACCTTTTCAACATGATACAGGTCTGAGCTGCAGCCAGGCCGAGGCCCAAAGCTCTCCAATACACAGATTTATTGTTTCACATTAGTCACAGAGACACCTCTGTGTATTCCTACTAAGGATCATGTTGGACTCATGTTGGACCATTGCAGTGTAACTCTGCAGAGTAACTGTTGCTAATATGCTTATCAGACACAACTGTTAAGAAAACTTTATATATTTTGTCTTTTTAAACCCAATACATGTCTTGTATTAACGGAAGAAAGTCAAAGGTCATCCACTTTTTTTGTTCTTTGCTGCCTTGGTGTTGGATGGAGCAGGGGCCTCGCTCCCTGGGTGGATATCGGCAGGTGGGGTTTCCCACAGGGGTCAGTGGGGAGCTGACAGGAGGGCATTTATACCCTCCCTTCGCTCACGCCATCATACCACACATGCAGAGCCTTAGGGTGCAGGCACACATCACAAAGAACATCACTATAGCTGTGACCACATTAGTTCCTAAGGTTTTGGATGATGTGAAATAGAACTGCAACAATTTGTAGTAATCCATTAACCCCATGAAGCAGGGTGTAGCTTCACTGAATAAATCTCCAGTTAAAACCAGTAAAATCATCTAATCTTCTCAAATCTAAAATCCTCTGACAGCTGCAGTGCAGGGAGACAGACAGCCTTGGACTGTGACAGGCTATCAAAACATTTTAAAGATCTTTGATTTTTCCAAGTAGATTGAAAATAGGGTTTTATTTTTAGCCCTCCTTTCGGTTGTTTGTACCTGCTACAGTCGTGCGAAAGATACTGAGTAATAGTTCAACAATCAGGTGAAAACATGGTGGTCAGTTTCAAGAACTGCAATGTGGAAAAGCTTAATGGAGTCTATTTCTTACTCAGGAATTATTATATTTGTTATACAGGAATTATCCTTTGCTATTCTCAGGAAAACAACCTCTGTCCCTGAATGTCACCTGACCCGTTATTGAGAATTGAGAGTTCACTCCAGATTTCATAGTAAGGCTCAAGAGTGACTTCAACTGATTTGATGAAGGCAGGAGATCCACTTTCAGCTGTGAGTGGATCAGCAACTGGAAGTAAAGACAGTCTACTATCCAGGGTCAGCATCCGATGTGAGATGGGAAGAAACAGGTGGGGGAGAAGAGACAGGAAATCAGCAGGGTAGTTCTTAGAATCTGGATGTCAAATATCATCATGATCAAAACACAGCAGGCAGGCAGAGCAGTGGCTGATACACCCACCAGTCCTATTGATTCATTTGGTGGTGTGTGCATAGTTCTTCAGCACTCTGCATCTGACACAGAAGAAACATTTTTTTCCCAACAATACAGTACTTTTGTCTTGTTGCACACTGTGCCTCCTTCTGTGCCACCTGGGTTATCATACAGCTCTCAGCCCACAGTCACTTGAATCAGTAGAGGTCAGGTCACAAAGCAGGGTCAAACTGTGCTAAAGGAGAATAACCACCAGGAGCTTTTTAACTTCTCTAAAGCTTGCTTGAATGTCCACTAGAATATGTACTTGTCCTTAATTCCTGGGATGAAGAAACCTAACCCTAAAACCACAGTGAAATCTTCCCATGAAGCTCTGCACTGTTGCTCACACCAAGCAGCAGCTTGACTGCACACATAAATAATATCCACATAGTTTTTCTTAACAATTTCCACCATCAGGTTCTGATGAACTGAAAGAACAAAGACCAATCACTGAGCGACTCTGCAGAATGTGAAATGATCGTACCTAGTGCAGTAAAATTGTCGGTTTTTATCTTCATGCATGGGCAGTTTGTAGTGTCAAACATCAATCACAGAAAATATGTCTACACCTTACAAGAAGGCAAACAATTAGCTTTCCTCAGTAACTTTTAGTTGCTTCAAAACTGGGATCCACTCAGTTTTCATCATCACTGTCAGACAGAAGACGCCTCTTGCGAATGTTGTGCCCCCTATTCTCACTGCCTGAGGCTGGTTAGTGAGAAAGTTCTTGATCCAAAGTCCTGCATCCTGGAGCTTCACTATCAGCTTCACCAGGATGATGGTATTAAATCCTGAACTAAAGTCGATGAATAGCATCGTAGCATAAGTGTTAGGATGCTGTCAGGACTGTGTAATCCTCGGTGAACTGGTTCCTCTTGTAGGCAAACTGGTGCCTGTCCAGACCAGCAAGTCCAGCAGGTTATCCTTGATGTGCTTTAGGATGAGCCTCTCAAAGCACTTCACAATGACAAGGGTTTTTCATATCTCTTTGACCATTACTGTAGGCTAACGTTCAGATGACCAGTAGGCAGCATCATGGGCTCTGAGCAGGAACCGCACAGTTCCATCCATCCGCAGCTTCTGATGAGGTAAAACGTTGATGGATCTGTGCAGGACTGCAAATAAGATATAACAGCAGATCTAGAGATCTGAGCTGTCTTTGAAAACCTCCCATTGAGTGAGCTCAAAACAGTCCTGAAGTGATGAGGAGGCCTCCTCAGTCCAGACCTGAACAGTTCTAATGATCTACAGATCAGCGGTCGGTCAATAGAGAGGGATGAGTTCAGCTGATGGCCAGACAGTCCCAGATGTGGGCCTGCAGCAGCCTTTGATATTACAGTTGGCCTGATCCAGGATATTTTTGTCTGTTGGAAAATTTGTGAATTTGTGGAATTTGGGTAGCATAATCTTAAATACTGCTTGATTAAAATCTCCTCCCATTATAACAACTGCCTCAGGGTGAGAGTTCATCTGCCTGCTGATCAGATAGTAAAGCTCCTCCAGAGCTGTTGATATTAGCTTATGGGGGAACATGGAAAGCAACCATCAGAAAACGATACAGTTGATATATGACAGTGGACAGAGTTTTAGTGGGTTGTAAGTTGTCCCTGATTGTTTAGGTAAGTGCTACTCCAGAAATACATCCTGTTTTGCCACCTGGTGTAAACAGAAATTGCAGATTTGAGTGGATATTAATTGTAGACGACTGACACAGTTAAGGAGAAATCACATGTAAAAAATAAAAATGAAATCATTAAATGAATATAAAAGTTGTGGGACTATAGCTACTCCATCTCATGATACCATGTGCTGCATTGTGTTTCTTTCTTCTATTTGTAAAAATGATCAAATGTAAATAAAAGAATATTGCAGTGCCACACTGGGACTGCATGGCACATCTTGAAGATGCTGTCTGGAGTTTAAGCTTTGGTTTGCATGTTAGCTGTTTTTCTGACATAAGGAAGATTTAATTCAGTTATTTGTAGAAATGACATAACTTTCACTATAGATAGTGAAGCACTCCAGTTTTCAGAACATTACGGTATTGTTAAAGCAACCCTAAACCCTGATACTACTGGAAATCAGAGACATCGTCTCTCAAATGTCCTTCACTTTTCACTGACCTGATGTGTCTGTACGGATGCAGACTTTGCCCTCTGGTGCGCTTGTGTCCGGACACCTCGACCATCCAGAGCAGCGCGCTGAACAGAACCACATCCGTATGCATGACGTCCACAGCCTTCTGCTCCCGAACCCTCAAATGTGCAGCCCACTCCAGGGTCTGTCAGTGCACAGGCCGGACGCTGCGAGCATGACTCGCACCGAGAACATAGTAAGAATGCCTACATAAACGTCCAAGTCTTTAATCTCTTAGACGACGGACGGGGATGCAGTTAGCCCGCAAATCTGCACGGATTTACTCTGTGAGCGCCGAGTCAATAAAACCGCAGCGCACGTTGATCCTGATGGTGAGAGAGATGGGAAGCTTTGGACAGAGTTACAGTCACCTGATGTCATTTCAGAATCACCAAATCTACACCAAGTAAAGATGCAGTGTTTTCACAGTGGGTAGGACCCGGAAGCCTCGTGGAAACCCCACGCCTGCAGCAGGAGAGCGCAGGACGCGGCTGGCCGCGGCTGCTGGCCGCTGCTGGCCGCGGCTGGCCGCTGCGCCTCCACGGCCTCCGAGTTGATGTTTCCTCAGATTCAGTTTGTCTCTCATCAGGACTCGGACCTTATGATCCATGATCAGAAACACTTTAGGGCATTGCTTTGCCCCAGTTTGTTTCAATTACCAATAAGTGGTGTATAGAATATTATGCAACAGTTTTATAATCCTGTTGGCTACAGTACTAACAGAGGATGAGTAATTCCACAGGGTTTTTCATCCCATCAGCATATTTCTCTGCTCTACCTTCTGGCGCTGATAGACCTACAGTTTCTTTGATCACTTTTACTGGAAGATGAAAATTAAGTAAAAAATGCAGTTACACACCGGACATATTAATGATAATAATCATAAAATAATAGTAAGAATAATATCAATAATAATAAAGGTCTTAGCCGATGTTTAAAACCCCATAACAGACATTTTTATTAATAAAAAAAAAAACATGTTTAAAATTTACAGACTATTTTTTTCATAAAGAAAAACGTGCAATTGATTTAATGCAAAATCATAATTACTATTTTTATTACAAGCATTGACGTGTTTATCCTTCTAATTAAATTTTGATACTTGTTTCTTTTTGTTAAATCAACTTCATGAGCTAATTTCAGAATTAAAACCAAAATAATGTTTTTGTTTACTTTCATTTCATTTTTAAGTTAAAGTTAGTTATACTGCCCGTTTGTTAATTTTTTTTAATTAACCATGTAAGAACTTTAATTATTTTTACTTGATGGAAGATGGCAGACACCGGTGCTGTTGTATTTGTCACCAAAGCTTTGGCCTCTGAGTCAGTGGTCACTGTATGAGTGTATCTGTATAAATATAGTTTTTTTTTTTTTTGTTATTTGTTAGAAATACAATTATTCATATATTCAACCTTACACTAAAGTGATGGCATATGTCACATTAGTGAATAACTCTTTTAACTCATTTGTGACATATGCCATGATATCAACATATATTTTAAAGCAACATATTAGAAAGATCTTTTTTTCTATATATTTATTTTACATTTTGAACATTCTTAGAAATGGATCCAATTGATGACATATTAAAAATATATTTCAGAAAAATGTAGCCTACACTGTAAAAATATCCGTAGATTTTACAGTTAAAGAAAGTAAAAAACGAAAATTTAATACCGTAAATTGGAAATCAGTTTAATACTGTTTATTTAACAAGTAATTACCGTAAATGAGATAATTAACAAAATATGTAAATTTTACAGTTTTTAAAATAAATTTTACATTGCACTGCTGTAAAATAAAATCTTGTAATACTTTTAACAGTAAAATTCCGTAATTTTTCTAGTAGTACATACTGTAGTTTTTGCAATTTTCTTTCGTAAATAATACAGTTAGTAGCTGTTAAAAATGCATACTGTTGTGACAATTACAGAAACATACTGTAATTTTTCTTTCAATGTATACCGTAGTTTTTGCATTCAATAATGATAATTTATACAGTTAGAAACTGTTCAATATGCATACTGCTGTGGAAATTACAAAAATATACAATAATTTTTCTAGCAGTGTATATTGTAATTTTTACATTTAAGTAATCTAAAGTATACAGTTGAAAAGTGTAAATATGCATAAGTTGTGGAAATGAAAAAAAATTGTATTAGTGCTGTAACCTTTGCATTTAATTCTCCTGAATAATACAGTTGGTAACTGTTAAATGGGCATGCTTTTGTGGCAATTACAGAAATATGCTGCAATGATTTGAAGAGTCAATGCTGTAATTTTGGGGTTTTATTCTTATAAATTTACATATACGCTCATGGGGATAACAGAAATAGGCTGCACATTTCTTGCATACCTTCTCTTAACCTTCCTCTGGTGTTAGCTTTCTGCTGCCATCTGTGGTGTAAGCGGGTCATTTTGGACCCATATATTAAATCAGGCATAAAATACCCTAAAAACAATTTTTTTCATCCAATGCTTTTCTTAACTCTTGTTTAGCTGGTTAGGCTCCCTTATCCATAAAAAGATTGGTTTTAATATTTTTTTGTGACCCCCTGGGCCTTTGTTTCAACAGCATACCCCTCGTTTTCAATGTCTAAAAAGTGGTCAAATTAACCTTAAGAGAAGAAGGCAACAAAATAATCAGTTGTTCTGTTACCTGAGTGTAACTGAGAGATATTAAAACATATTTCTTAAATGTTCAACAAAAAAAAAGATTTTAATTTTAATATTATCAAATATAGTAACATCTATGGTGTTTCGGGTCAATTTGGACCCGTATATATTTACTTCAAGAAAAGGGAAAAAACAAGTCTTTTTTTTCCCCACACAATAGTACTTTGGGTTGAACATCAGTGGAAGGAGTTCCACCCATCTCTCCTAATCATCACTGATGGGAGCAAGTTTGTCATATTTTGCTCGATTGTCAAATCTGAGGACTCTTGAGATTATCTGAAAGGTCCAAAGAGACATTGTTGCCCGGAAAATATTTCTGCCCATTGATGCATCCCAGAGACTCTCAGTTGCCTCATTGCTGGATCTGTAAAGCCCAGCAAGGAGGAGAACAGCAATGTAGGCATCCAGGTATGTCTCCTCAATGTCTTTCCAAGTGTTGCAGGAGCAGCTTCAGCACCAGTGACCTCCTCTTCAGACTTATCAGTTGTGTCTGTTTCTTCCAATTGGTACTCCACATCATCTTCGTTCTCAGAGGCCTGCTCATCTCCATCGCTCAAATCCTGTGTCCTCTGCCTCATTTGCAGCAAAGATGTGATCCAAAGCTTCATTTACAGTGAATTTTCTCCTCATTGTTGCATCCTATGAATTGGAGATGTGTACACTGCAAGTCACCACCTCAACACTCAAATGGCTTGACATGCCTGGATATGTCTCCCTTTGTTTGTTCTCACAAAAAGGCAAAGAGAAAAGCCCCTAAATGAAGCTCAAGTGGTTGGAGCAAGAGTCTGTTTGTTGATTGTGTGTTTATGATTTAATTTTTGGTAATTTTTTTTGTTTTATAATCAAAAATTTTAACCGGGTCAAAAATGACACGTACACCACAAAAGTAATTTTTTTCACCAGAGCACTTTATAATTTAGTAAAAAAAAAAAAATTGATTTTATTTTGTTTCAACGCAAAAAACAAATGTATGAAATACTTTTATGCATGCTAAAACTCAAAACGGGTCCATAGGGACCCTAACATAGGAAGGTTAAGAAATATGCCTTCAACTGTAAAGAGTATTGGTTATGGGGAAAAATATACAGACCCTTTCTAAAAATTGTAATAATCGAAAATCTAATTAAAAATCCCATTCAAAAAGTTTAACTTTTCATGGCGTCAGTCTTAATGGGCCAACAGGGCCCCCTGCACCTGGTCCGCGCGGACAGGCGCAGTGGATCTCTGGCGGTACTTTGGAAGCGGTGGATTTGAACGGACCAATCAGCGCGCTGCATTTGAGGACCCGTCGCACACGGTGGTTCGTGTTTTTGTCTAGCTATTCGCTCAGATTGTGCAGAGACTTCATCATCCAACCTTCTCCATCTGATTGGCTCTCTTTCTCAGGTAAGGAAATATTGCGGAAAATTTCAGAAAACAAATAGTTTGAATTGCATTCGGTTGGTTGAAAAGACATTTCAGGGGAAACGAGAAAAAAAAACGTTGTGGAAAGTTAGCCTCTCCACAAAGCTATTGCTAACATCTGTTTTGTATCGCCATTGCTGTAAGCTATTCATCGAAGTAATATACTTAAGATGTATTCATGCAACCTGTGTGCAGAACCAGTTAAATCTGTTAAAGCCTTTGTTCTCCATTGCAAACTGTATCGCAACGAACCGAGGCTTAAGTTCAAGTGTGTTGCGGCCGGTTGCAAGCAGGTGTGTTCTGGTTATGCAGCATTAAAAGCACACTTATATCGTCATCATAATAGCATGCCAACAGTTGCTCTGGACACAAGTATAACGAAATTAAAATGGACAGTTCCACTTTGTAAATGGCAGTGTGAAGGGATAAAAGCTTTGGTTGTTCACTTGAAGGAGCATATAGTAGAAGGGCGCCAAGTAACTTGCCCTGTGAAAGGGTGCATCTCTGTGTTTCGTGTAAAATCTTCCTTTACCTCTCACATCTCCAGGAAACATAAAAATTATTTGGAAAATTTTATTTGTGAAAAAAGTAATGAAGATACTCAGTGCTGCAAGTGCTACCAAAAAAGATTCCAGTGTGCCAGATGCAGAAAAGATGGACCAAATTTCAGTGACTTGTGTCTTAGAAATGTTTGTATGTTTTACATAAAACTACAGGAACAGCATCTTCTTCCATCATCTACCATTCAAAACATTGTAGAAGAGATGCAAAATATACATGAATTGGGACAGACATACTCTTTAAATAGATTGAACTTGCTTCTTAAAGAAATGTCATTTGCAGATGAAGATATTGCAAAAATCTGTGACACAGTAAAACAGTCGGACTTGTTCTCAGCTTGCCACACCGGACCGATGAGAACTGCTTATTCTAGAGCCCAGTGTTTTAAAGACATGTTCAAATATGGGGAACCCAAAAAAGTGTTGTTGGGCAAAGATGAGGACAGAAAAGATAGATTTGCATACTATGTTCCTGTGCTAAATACGTTAAAAGGTATGTTAGATTCAAAATATTGGCAGGGCCTAATGATGGCTCATGGCGTCTCAAAAGCTGATGTTCTCTCTGACTGTGACAATGGTAAGGTGTTTATGTCCAACGTATTTTTTCAAGAAAACCCAAATTGTCTCAAGCTGGTTCTCTATCAAGATGCATTTGAAGTTGTGAACCCATTGGGATCTGCAAAAAAAAAAGCACAAGATCTTGGCTGTTTACTTTTCTCTACTCAATATG